ATGCTCCCCTACTTGTCCACCATATACCTTCGGCTGCTAAACACGTCGCCCCCTCGTTTCCCCCCAACCCTAAACCCATATGTCCATCCCCGACACTTCCCATTCCCTCCTGCCCTTTGTCTTTCCTTTGCTGCCCCTTTATCTACACTTGTCCACCTATGCTCCCTCCTCTTGCTGCATCCTTTGACCTCTGGAACTGCCCCACTATACTAACCGACTGGTCCCTTATCTTTGCTCCATATCACTGCTGCCCCCGTTGTACCCAAGTGCTGCCCCTCTCCTGCTGCCCCCCATGTACACCATGCACCCATCACCCTCCTACCCAGGCTTGCACGCTTGGGCGTCGGGTGCTGACTAAGACACACAAGAAGATGATCGTGGGGCAGATCACGGATGATGTGTTCAGGAGCTATGTCCTTGTTTACGGAGATGTAGCAATGGGCTACTTGAAGAAGCGGCTGGCCAGGGAGGGAATTCACGACCAAGTGCTCAATGTGAGAATCAATGTGGTGCTCAATGCTGTGCAAACTGCCACTGCCACGTAGACCTGTTAAACGCGTAGCATCACCCTCCTTAATGGGCCGAACCGAGGCATGGCACCCTGTTGTATCCACGCACCCGTCAGCACCCCATTGTCTCAACCCTAACACAAACTTCCATTGTTGTGTTGCGACCCCCGCTTGCCTATTCGCAGGTGCACACTGCCATGGCAATCCCACCGCACGACAGGATGGAGTGGGCCGAGAAGGGGCAGTTTGTCAAAGCAAGCCCTTCCGAAAGGCACTTTTCAGATGTGGCCATAAATCCAGCTGGCAAGGGGGCCAACTGGTACGGCCGATGCTTGATGCTGTTCCATTACGTGAAAGACGGCGTGGCAAAAAAAGCCGCCTACATCGAGTACTACACGGAGGATCGGCGAGTCTGCCGGTACACTGGCTGCAAACGACTGTTGCCCACGAAGGGCACCTTCAACTATGCAGTTGTAGATGCAGATTGCATTCTTAGCATCGTGCATGTTGTCCCGTGCTGCAAAGACCTTGCTGTGAAGCTGCTTAATAGGTTCATCTGGTGATGCATATTAAGTAGCAACTAAGTCAATATACCATAACCTTCTTTGATTGTGAAACACGCTTTTAATCCACCTTATTATCGTCTCAACAATTAACATCTTACAAACATTCCATTGTAACATCGCAAAACCATTACTAAAACATCAACAAAACGTTTGGTCTGACAAGAATGCTATACAAACAATTCGTAGATGATTCCTGGGTGATTGTCAAACGATTTTCGGAAACTTGCTTAAAAAAAAAAATGGTCAGATGATTTCCAGACGCACACATTTTTGTGATGAACTCTCTTCTCATGTCAGCATTCTTAAGTTCAGCCAAATCCCTCTTCACTATAAAAAGTTCCTCTTTAACTGAAGTTAGCTCCCCCTTCACTGCGGTTAGCTCCCCCTTCGTTGCTGCCAACTCCCTCTCCCTCTCACCCACCACAGCAGCAGTCGCCACACTCCTCTCGCTCACGACAACCAGTGTACGCCTCAGCTCATTCATCTCATTCTCCAGAACCCGATTTCTCTCATTCAGTATCACCACGAGCTCCTTCTGTCGGGCCACCTCCTCCCTGACCACTGTCATCTCCCCCCTCAATGCTGCCAACTCCCCTCTCACTAATCCGAACAGTCCATTTACTGCCTCACTTATCACGCTTGCCTCCCTCTCGATAGCCATAACTGCCGGTTGGACTTAGCCGCCTCCCTGGAAGCCAACACATGGAGGTTAACAGGGACACGCACACAAGAAATAAACACTGTGCGACTGTAACGGAAGTAATTGAAGTAGGAAAGCAAGAAGACACGGACGCGTTATAATGCCACTTTGCAAAAACGTCAGTCACACGGCAATGCTTATGTTCAGTTTGCCCCACAACGCAAACGTCACATGCCAGTGAATTCTCGATTCACGCTCAGCGTGGCTAAATGTTTTACGGGGCAATGCCTAATAAGAGCATGGAAGCGTGATTTCATGACTGATTGACTGGTAACACGGCTTCCATTCAGCGCCCTACGCTCTTGTAACGTGGAATGAGAGGAGCAGAGGGTCGGGAGCATTCGAGGCTCGAGACACTGGCGAAGGGAAGAAAACAATGATTGAGATGGTTTTTGGTGTGCAAGCCGAAATGAATGCTATCACGGGACCAGCCTTACCTGTTCTAGGGTTTCGAAGAGTAAACTGTCGTGCTGAGACTAGCGCATGCACTTGGCTCTAAGCTCAGCAACAGGCGCCGGACACGCCAAACGATCTGAAACGCGCGATGTGAATCTTACTGGAGAGAATACTATGGGCTTGGAAACATAGAAGCGAGAACGCAGTTGTGAATTTCACTCTGAAGGAGGGGGGAAAAGACGAGAAAGGTAGCGTGACGAGAGGAGGGTTACTAGTAGCAGGATGGCTGGTAGCTGCTACGCGGCGCGCTTGCGATAACTAGTAGTAGTAGTAGTAGTAGTAGCGCTTCTGTGGCGACCACGATCCTGCGATGGCATGTGAGCGTCGCGTCCTGTCGTGTGTGCTTGACAGTATGAAAGCACGAGCAGCTTTTTATCCACAGAAATTCGGCTCTCGTAGTTTCCTTCTTTGAAGCTGGGTTACCATCCTCACCTGATTCGACGAAGAGTGTACAAAAGATGCTGAATGTGCAGCGCAAATGTCGTCACCTGAGCGAAAGTAAATGTCGAGTGTGTAACAGGTGACGGCAGGAGCAGTGCCATCGAGACTAGAGGCGACTCAATTCGTACTAATCAAGGCACTTTCTCGGACGAACTGAGAACGATTACGAACTATTTGCAGTGGTAACTGCTAAGAAACGCAATTGGCAACCGTGACAACTCGAGTCGAGATTTGAGTGCTGGGTGATGATCCCGTTTCGTTCCCACTCCAAGCATGTGTCAACAAGCTTCTCACAGCACTCTCGAAATCGTTAGCTTCGCCACCACGCAGCACGCACTGCAGAAATTTCTCGCGCCGCTGCTAAGTCGCTTCAAGAGCCGCGGAAACGCGCTGAAACCCTAATCAGAGGTAAGCCTCCCAATCTTTTCCCCCGTTGGCGGTCCGCATTGCGTGCGAGCCTGAGGCTCACAGCCTACGAATCATGGTGATCGTATTTTCTGATGATCAGAGCGGGCCAACTAAATGTTACATAGCGAATTCCTTGCTTGCACACCGCCAAAAAACTACGACCACCTTGATGCATGCTGACACCTTATAATATTCTTGCCTCTCGTAGCATTGTTAATTCCGTGCTGGTTCAGCCACTCCCGCTACCACTCACCCAGGCAATCAAAGCCTCTGACCGCACTCAGATTGTGACTAACCGCATTGTTAACCTGGGTCCTTTCCGCATCACAAAAATCCTGCATCCGGAAAACCGATGAAAAAAGTTGCTTTGGAGTTTTGTCGAATGATTCTTGAACGACGTTTTTCGAACGCTTTTTTGAGAAAGTATAGGTTGCTTTCCAAATGCTTTCTCGAACTCTTTTCAAATGCTTCTCCAATGCTTTTCTGTTCAAACCTGCCAGGTGAACACCTTCGGAAGAAGTTTGGTACAAGTTTCCGCAGAGCAATTTCGAAGATCGGATCTCATTGCAATGTACTCTTTATGGAATTTCGGGCTCATTAAAATAAGCTTATGTAGGAGACTTGCACGACCTTATATGTAATTTAAAACTATGTTAAGTTGCCTCAATCTTGCATTCAAAATGAACAGTACAGAAGCTTTGGTAAAAGCTGATAATTCCACCCTAAAAACGCACATAAAACAGCATCCTAAACCCTCTGTGCCTAGTCAGTTAGGTTGAGCTGCATCATCCTACGACCTGCTTAGCATGCTCCAGTACGCTATGTCTTCCACCGAACCCCATCTCTGGTGCTCTAGGTCGAGCGTGCCCCTGCGTCCACTGCTTCATTGCATGCTCTGCCCTCTCATGCGTCTGCTGCTCCGCCCCTGGCGCTCCCCAGTCATGCCTTTACTGCTGCTTGCTCCAGTCATGCCTAACCTGCTGCCCCCCTTGTGCACTCCCCTCTATCTGCTCGTGCCTTTTCTGCTGCCCCCCCAACTCTCTCAACTCATGCCTTTTCTGCTGCACCCTCTTGCACTATCTGGTTGCCTTGCTGGTTGCCCACCCTTGGACACTCCTCACATTGTCTCTACTGCTGCCCCCCTTGCTGACTCCACGCTTTTGCCGCCCGTGCTACCCCCCATGCTGACTCTACTTTCTTGCCTGGCGTGCTGCCCCCCTTGCTGTCTCCACCAATGCCTCTACCTCCGTTTTGATGTCTCCTCGCAAGTGTGTGATGCCTATCCTGCTGCCCCCCCCTTGTAAACTCCACTCATGCCTCATCTGCTGCCCCTCTTGTTTAGTCGCCCCATCGCTTCACCCTCTTGCCTCCCCGGCGTTTGCCACTCTTGTGTCTTTTGCCCCTCCTTCGCTCCTGGTCCCCCCCCTTCTCATCCTCATGCTCATCCTCTTCCTCCTCTTCCACTTCTTCTTCTTCTTCCTCTTCCCTCCTGCTTCCCTTGCCTCTGCCTCTTTTGTGCTTTCTGCCCTTCCTCCTCTCTTGCCCCCTATGATTTTCATCCTCCTGCTCCCCCTCCTCCTCCTCCCCACCCTCTTCCTCTTCCCCCCTGCCTCCCCTGAGTTTCCCTCTCTTCTGCCTTCTGCCCTTCCTAATCTCCCGCCCCCCCCGTTTCACATCCTCCTCCTCTTCCTCCTCCTCATCCTCTTGCTCATCCCTCTTGCCTCCCCTGCTTTTGCATCTCTTGTGCCTTTTGCTCTTCCTCCGTTCCTGCCCCCACTGTTCCTCCTCCTCCTCATCCTCCTCCTCCTCCTCCTCCTCCTCCTCCTCCTCCCCCTCCTCCTCCTCCTCCTCCTCGTCCTCCTCCTGATCCTCGTCATCCTCCTCGTCATCCGTCTTCAAGTCATCCGCGTCGTACACCTCCTACTCTTCCTCCTTCAAGTCCTTCTTCTCCTCGTCAGGCGCGGCCGTCCCCTTGAACGCCTCAAATCCTGACTCGTGAACATACAGGCCACGGTCGCCCCACTTGAAGCCACCATGATCCTTCTCGTCGCCACCATCCGCATCCTGCGAGCCCGAGGGACCGCCCTTGGCCGCGGCAGCCCTAACGCCGTTGCGCATGCCGCCACCACGAGCTTCCGGCTCGGCATGATCCCCCTCGTCGCCTCCATCCGCATCTTGCGACGGCCTGCCCGACGGATCGGCCTTAGCCGCGGCAGCCCTGCCGCCATTGCGCATGCCGCCACCACGAGCTTCCGGCTCGGCATGATCCTTCTCGTCGCCACCATCCGCATCCTGCGACTGCCTGCCCGAGGGACCGCCCTTAGCCGCGGCAGCCTTGCCGCCGTTGCGCATGCCGCCACCACGAGCTTCCGGCTCGGCATGATCCCCCTCGTCGCCTCCATCCGCATCTTGCGACGGCCTGCCCGAGGGATCGGCCTTAGCCGCGGCAGCCCTGCCGCCATTGCGCATGCCGCCACCACGAGCTTCCGGCTCAGCATGATCCTTCTCGTCGCCACCATCCGCATCCTGCGACTGCCTGCCCGAGGGACGGCCCTTAGCCGCGGCAGCCCTGCCACCGTTGCGCATGCCGCCACCACGAGCTTCTGGCTCGGGATGATCCTTCTCGTCGCCACCATCCGCATCCTGCGAGCCCGAGGGACCGCCCTTGGTCGCGGCAGCCCTGCCGCCGGTGCGCTTTCCGCCACCACGAGCTTCCGGCTCGGCATGATCCGGCTCGGCATGATCCCCATCGTCGCCTCCATCCGCATCCTGCGCCGGCCTGCCCGAGGGATCAGCCTTAGCCGCGGCAGCCCTGCCGCCGTTGCGCTTTCCGCCACCACAGGTAGTGACCGGCTCAACATGATCCCCCTCGTCGCCCCCATCCGCATCCTGCAAGCCCGAGGGACCGCCTTTGGCCGCGGCAGCCCTGCCGCCGTTGCGCTTTCCGCCACCACGAGCTTCCGGCTCGGCATGATCCCCCTCGTCGCCTCCATCCGCATATTGCGCCGGCCTGCCCGAGGGATCGGCCTTAGCCGCGGCAGCCCTGCCGCCGTTGCGCTTTCCACCACCACGGGTAGTGACCGGCTCGGCATGATCCCCCTCGTCGCCCCCATCCGCATCCTGCGACTGCCTGCCCAAGGGACCGCCCTTGGCCGCGGCAGCCCTGCCGCCGTTGCGCTTTCCGCCACCACGAGCGCGTTGGCCTGCCGTCCCATCTGCGAAGGCGGACATTACAGGTACATAAGAAATACTGTGCACACATTATCTTATTGGCTGGAAGTTGCAGCATGACATGCGGCGTCATTGTAATGAGTAACGTGCAAAATATAAACCGTCGATATCACACCCACAGCGTACCTAAGCTGTCAGGTCCCCCGTCTTTGCCCTCCTCGTCGCCTTCAGACGCAGGCGTTTCCTCACGATGTGAACGAGTGCCTCTTTTTCTTGGACGGTGCTTACGCCCCCCCCGGTTGTCACACTTGTCCGCTGACGCTGATGTGGAAACACAATTGGAGAGACGATAACCTCCAACAAGTCAGACACGACTACAAGCATCGTTTCATGCATACAAGTAGAATATTCCGCATCTGCGACCATAAACACGTACCTTTCTGGCCGCCTTTGGGAACGAGATCATCTAAGCGCTTCACGCGCTTATCCCTTGGTTTCGGAGGGGATGATATGCCCTTGTTTGCGTATGGCTCAACATCGCAGTCGCTATTCGATTCGTCACCGGATGACGAGACACGTCTGGAATCAACAACATCTCGCGCCGTCGACGCATTATTTTTGCGATACTCGTTTACGATCTCGGCCGTCTTATCTGCTGTTACTAACTCCGCAAAATTTGTTTCGTCGGGGGTTCTAGTCGAATCAGCCAGTACAATCGCCCCCTCGGGCCCCTTCATTATCTGACTTCCTTGTTACGATGTCTAGCTTTCCATTCACGCAGTACTATGAGGTTGCGGGTTGTGCTACCGCGAAGAACCAGACAACAGTCTACGAGCATAAAACATTGGTTGAGGAGGGAGAGGGAGGAGGCAAAGTCTGGGGCCTAGAGCAGACGATCGTCACACCTGGAGGCACGCAAGGGGAGCACGGAGGTGATGAGGGTTTGAGTGTTTCCTGCTATGGTGCACGTTGCGACTGCCAGGTCCCCCTTTTCCGCCAACAACCAATCGCCTGGTGGTTGAGGTGTATAAAGGAAAAAAATGCAGCACTGCCGTGTTAAGATTCCGTGGGACCTAACGTGCTTAATTGAGTATCAGTCCACAAGCGGCAGGGTGGGCTTCTTTTTGTTAAACCCAACAGTCAAATGCGCTACTGTATCTGGGTTTGCGAGGGTCATAATTATTTTGCCCGGGTTGTCGCACTGTTTACAATGAAGTGCCTCGCGTGCCACACAAACCTACACAAGCTGCACGTCAAGAGTCACATAGGGTCTGCGGAGAAACGGCGACGCTCGATCGCAGCAAGTCGTACAGCGATGCGACAGGTCGACACGAAGCCGTTGCGGCACGCTTGCGATAAAAACGCAGACTCAAAAGTTCCTTGTGTGTGGTTGCGACTGGTTTGCAAATCAGGGAGATTCGCGTACGTGGCATAGCGTGGAGTCGAGTGGAATGGCGCAGGGTGGGGCACGTAATGGCAAATTAGTTTGCAAAGCCTCAATAGTGTGGTGTACGTACATGATAAAAATAGAATTAGAGGGTTATGGAGTTGTAAGGAAAATCTCGTTTTCCTTACTTCGCATCCCTGCTCAACGCGTACATCACTGTAGCACCTCAGTCAGCACCGTTACCACTCGCATCGACAATCCGCCCGCCACTTTTGCACGTCGCACCCCGACCTCACGGCTCGGCGGTAACCCGCGCTCTGGACCTTCGCCTCGACATTTTCCCAACCTCAGTCCCAGGCCCGTCGCGCGACAACCACAGTCCATTACCGTTACCACTGTGGTTTCGCTATATAACCTTTCGCTCATACCTTCGCTCAGTTGTACTTTTTTCCCGATAGTGCAATCCTCGTTCGCTCACTCAATTGCACTTGTAACAGGAGTCCCCCTAACCCATTAGCATAGTGACAAGTATGCAACATAACATTGTAAAACCAAACACCACCTTCACAGAACATGCACATAACGGTCTGTGGTGGAGCAGTCATTCTGATACATCGATTGATTAGTAAGTATGCATTATTTGATTGCTGCGTGGTCGTTATGCAACGCGTATGGGCATGTCTCCTCTCATGCCAATTGAGGTGCAATAATAATAGAGCCAGACACAAACTCCCCGTATGGGGCATGGCTGCTCTCATGCCATACAGGGCAACCTTTATGCAGGGACCCAAGAGCATGCTCTGTTGTATGTTCTAGGTTCATGCTGGAACAGAGTTGAGAAACCCCTGCTGTTCTACCCACTAGAGTTGTGGGGACATGCAGGTATGTTTTGCAGCATCACACTGACCCATTGTGTATTGTTTGTATACATGTCAAGCAGGAACGCCAGTGACAAACACTTCCCTACGGGTAGTGTTCTCTTGACATGGAGGACTGGTTCTGGCCAACACTCTCATTTGGCCACACTTGTTGTCAAGTCATGCAGGACTGATTCAAGGCCTCTCCATTGCGCTTTGTGTCATGTTTGTTGGCATATCAAGCTGGCAAGACGGATGAACAAACAATTCCCTATTGATCTTGTCCTCATTCCCCCATGCTACCCGCTTCCTTGTTTTTCACTCACACAGTTATTCCTCCCACGTACCCGCCTCACTCCCTCCTGCTTCCCGCCTCATTACCTCTGCTTCCCGCCTCGTGTCCCCTCGCTTCCGGCCTCATCCCCCCTTGCTACCCACCCCATTCCCCCTTGCTTCCCACCCCATTCTTCACTGAGACCCTCCTCATTCTCCCTTGATACCCTCCCCATTCCCCCTTGCTTCAGGCCTCATTCCCCCTTGCTTCGGGCCTCATACTCCCTTGCTACCTCCCTCATTCCCCCTTGCTTCAGAGCCGCGTCCCCCTTGCTTCCCGCCTCATTCTCCCTTGCTACCCCCCTCATTCCCTCTGCTTCCCGCCTCATGTCCCCTCGCTTCCGGCCTCATTCCCCCCTGCTACCCACCCCATTCCCCCTTGCTTCCCACCCCATTCTTCACTGCTACCCTCCTCATTCTCCCTTGATACCCTCCCCATTCCCCCTTGCTTCAGGCCTCATTCTCCCTTGCTTCAGGCCTCATTCCCCCTTGCTTCGGGCCTCATACTCACTTGCTACCTCCCTCATTCCCCCTTGCTTCAGGCCCCAATCCCCCTTGCTTCCCGCCTCATTCTCCCTTGCTACCCCCCTCATTCCCCTTTGTTTCCCGCCTCATGTCCCCTCGCTTCCGGCCTCATCCCCCCTTGCTACCCACCCCATTCCCCCTTGCTTCCCACCCCATTCTTCACTGCTACCCTCCTCATTCTCCCTTGCTACCCTCCCCATTCCCCCTTGCTTCAGGCCTCATTCCCCCTTGCTTCGGGCCTCATACTCCCTTGCTACCTCCCTCATTCCCCCTTGCTTCAGAGCCGCGTCCCCCTTGCTTCCCGCCTCATTCTCCCTTGCGACCCCCCTCATTCCCTCTGCTTCCCGCCTCATGTCCCCTCGCTTCCGGCCTCATTCCCCCCTGCTACCCACCCCATTTCCCCTTGCTTCCCACCCCATTCTTCACTGCTACCCGCCTCATTCTCCCTTGCTTCAGGCCCCATTCCCCCTTGCTTTGGGCCTCATTCCCCCATGCTTCCCGCCTCATTCTCGCTTGCTACCCGCCCCATTACCAGCTTTTCACCGCCGCATGCCCCACCTCCAACCTCCAACATTGTTTTTTCCCGAAAATACACAGACCACTTCCTCAAATCGTGATGGTACTGACGGCGCCAATGGAGTGGCGTCCCTACAAGCTCACACGCCGGTAGTTTATGGAAACCATCCTCGACCAACGTGTGCATCACACGCATCGTGAACACACCACAGTCGTTCTCATTTGCCTGCATGGGTATCTCGACAATCACAGGGTGCGTGAGCGCGTGGTGAGGGCCGGGACGGGAGTGGGGTTTCGGTGTGGAAATTGCATGCAGGGAAAGGGAGATGCGATTGTTTCAAAGCTCATACACACAAGGCAACAGCACTCGCCGTGACCTGCCTTAGTGGGATGCTCGCCGCCCATGCATCTGCGTCCGACTCAGTGATCCATGCATAGTATCTTATCACCTCGTTTCGTAAGTACCTGCACACCGGGAGACATAGATTCAATGCTATCGTAACCCCAAACTTCTGTACGTGACAATAGCAGACTGCCATTAAAAAGAGAGTACCTTCGCAACGCGGCGTCGACACCGGCATGCGTGCCGTACGAGTCAGCATGCCAGAGCACGCAGTTCATGGGAATCGGGTCGTCGGGCCTCGGGATGCGCTCGATTACGATCAAGCTCCAGTGACTCCTAAGGCACACATGAGGTCTAACATCAGTAACGCCGACGTTAGACTACCGAAATACATATGGTGCTACGGCTAGACGCGATGACTATTCACTCGGTACTTATCGGAACGAGTACATATGTGAAATCGAAAATACCCAGGCCGAAAGTATAGGCGTTTACACGCCGCGAAATGTCCTTCTTAGCATATTCCCAGAAATATGATCCACTGTAAAGCCATTTGTTGCGGTCGCGACCGTGTTCGTACTGCAGCATCCTGCGCACGCGCGTATTTGTGACAAAGGAAACGCATGAGATAACCGTGACGAATCTGGCCTTATGATTTCCTAACCGTGATACTCACACACCAAGCCAATCAATTACGATCCCGCTGACCCATTCACCGGGTCGTAGCCTGTCGGCGTGTTCCACGTTTATGTCGAGCCAGCCTCCGCCGTAGGGAAAGGGCATAGAAATTGGCTGAAAGGCCAGCTTACCATCTAAACACGGTAGAGCCATGGCTAGGACTTTGATGACCTCAAGATGCGTGTGGCACCTCGCTGACGAGGTGGAACTGTGCTGTTCGGAGCTAGCAATTCCACGCGTCAGGCTATTATGTATGTGCCCTTCTACACGCACTGTGAAAGGGGCATGTTTACTTCGGTTATGGCTGGCATAGGTCCTCTCCTCAGTGTTCACACGTTCACGCTCCCATGTTCTGGGCGTTCCCGTGGTTGTCCCGTATAATGTGATGAACAGTGCTGGAAATCTACGGTCAGTTAGCTAAGGCATAACGATCTTCGCTGCTTGGTTAGGGTTCCGCGCCACACACATGCCACAAATGTTGCGCGACGCAGCGTGATTGGTCGAAACACAGAGGGCTGTCAGAACCGATTTGTGGGGGAGTTGGCGGAAGTTTGGCAAACCAATCATCGGGCGTCAACCCTTGCAAACAAAAGATATTCTTGAGATTCTAGGTGTGAAGAATGGTCTGGTAGCAATAAAAGAGCAGATATATCGGTAAACTAGTTCAGGCGTTCTAATCCGCCACTTTTAGGTCACTGGTGATGAGACGCCTTTATGCACGCCAAGACAAGCTGAGTTGTGCGCGACATTCCAACGCCTTTCCCGCCAAGCCATCAGATCCCGAACT